GTGTGTGTGTGTGTGTGTGTGTGTGTGTGTGTGTGTGTGTGTGTGTGCTACCGGAAGAAAGTTGGAATATTTGCGGTTCAGTTAAATATCTGTTAATGGGGATGCCATAGTTTTTTCTATACGTAAACAGGACGTCTATGTGGTTCTATTGATCATAGTGGTATTGTTGTATTTATGTGAAACTATTTTGTGTAAAACATACCTATAGGTATATGATTGTCCATTAAATCATATCGCAGTTATAACATAGCCGTGAATGACACAAGAGGGCGTTGTTTGTGTAGCTTGGATGAGCTGAAACCGTTTGTTTAAATGTAAATTCACATGTGAATCAGTTTTGTGTTCCTGTTCAGAAATAGAGGACAAGTGTTCAAGCAAAGATGAAGATGATGAAATGTTCTAAAATATTGTAGAAAACATCCGTCTTCTATATTTTAACAAGAACGAAATTTTTTTCGCGAATATATTCGCATTAGTGGCTAATCCCATTTTTAGTCTTAAAACACACATACGGCACATACAAAGGACAATTCAACTATTTCTAGTGAAAGAGAGTTCAAAACAGTTATGCAATTTACACCCTCAAAATGATATTGTTGTAGAAACCACTTTGCTGGTCAATTTTTTATTTTTTTCAACAAAACAACCGCTAGCGACACAGAAAGTAATTGGAATGAAAGTAGACGTTTTTGAAATATATATACTTTGGTATTTGAGTGTAAAAAAATAAAATCATTGAACATTTACACTAATTTAATTTATAAATTGAATTTTTGCTCGCTTTGAATGTAAGTAACGGTTATGAATATTTCCACATTAATCGTCATTTTCCCGAGTAGTGTGCGTACGAAATATCAGCGAACAGATGTATGGACTGTGTATTACGGTTTTCCAAATCGGCAGATTGAGTGAGAGCACTCATTTGGGGTGGCTTAATGAGCAATACAAAACTGTTAAGCTGTTGTGTTCGTGGAAGCTGGCTTGTTTGCTCACTTTGCAGTTGATTGCTTGCATCTTAATTTCGTCCTTTCAAAGCGAGCATCATAAAAGACCACTAATTTTTCTTAAACAACAAGCGAAAGATTGAGTAGGTGTGAGTGTGAGAGAGCACTCTCCGGTTCGTGTGCTGCAAATCAATTGTCGATCTCGCGAATTACCAGCTATAATTAACATTCTACTTTTTTTTGCTGACGGTAATAGATTTACTTACTTCGTGGATGGATTGCATGGAAATTTGCTTGAAATGTTGAAAAATTGCCTCCATCCAATCGTGTCAGAACCTCAATGGTTGCAATCGATTTTCCGAAATATATATGTATATATATATAGCATTGGGTTTTATAGCGCTTCATTTATTGCACATTTAATCAAGTGGACTGATTTTCGTAGGATAATTGAAAGGAAGGGAAGCAATTTATAATTCGATTGCTAAACAGATTTTTAGCTGCATAAATCCACTTGGAATGGGGTCTTTTTCACATTGATACGAGTACAAATCCTGTAGCGTAAATAAAATGCACGCGTACTTAAAAACGCGAACTCCGGCCGAAAGGCTCTCTTACAAAAATCCGAATCAAGGAAACAGCGGTGGCGTCGTCGGCAATGTCGACGGAAAAACGACTCCATTTGAATATATATTTCGAATTCTTTTTGAGAGACTCTTAAGCTTTATCATTCTGCATGTGATTTCCGCTTAAATTACCATCATCTGCTGTTGCTGTCGCTGTCGTTACCACTGCTACGGTTGTTGAAAGTGTGTAATTTGCCATTTTGCCATTTCGATGCATTGATGTTGGAAATGCATTCTATTGAATTGGTTCAGAGGTAAACCGTGCATCACCTTCTTAAAGCGGCCTAAAACCAAGCGATTACCATTTCAGTGTAGCTCGTCTCGCGTCTACCATCTTCAATCATAGACTTGAAATCAATTTATCGGGAAATTTTGTGTAATTTTCTATGTCTCCGGCGCTGTTAGTTCTTTTCTTCTCTCTTTGTTGATCGTTTGTGAACGAGTTTGTTTATTTGCATAGCTGCATGAAATTGGTGTGTGATGCGATATGAAGATAATGATGATGCTAATGCAACTTGACATCAGAGCCAGATAGTCGAAGCGATCCAGACTCCTCCAATGGTTCAGCTGCCACACCACAATATTTACTGCAATCGAATAATTATAATGATTACGTTTAATTCCGC